ACTGCTAACAAAAACACTGATCCACCCTTTACTAGGACTGCTAACTCTGATAGCAAGTCCCACTTTTCCTATTCTCCGCTCTGCTGAATTGTTATCTCCTTACTGTTGAAGTGGGGATTGTTATCTCCTTACTGTTGTAGTGGGGATTGTTATCTCCTTTCTGTTGTAGTGGGGATTGTTATGTCCTTACTGTTGTGGTGGGGATTGTTATCTCCTACTGTTGTAGTGGGGATTGTTATATTCTTACTGTTGTAGTGGGGATTTTTATATCCTTACTGTTGTAGTAGGGATTGTTATATCCTTACTGTTGTAGTGGGAATCGTTATCCCCTTACTGTTGTAGTGGGGCTTGTTATATCCTTACTGTTGTGGTGGGGATTGTTATCTCCTTTCTGTTGTAGTGGGGATTGTCATATCCTTACTGTTGTAGTGGGGCTTGTTATCTCCTTACTGCTGTAGTGGGGATTGTTATATCCTTACTGTTGTAGTGGGAATCGTTATCCCCTTACTGTTGTAGTGGGGATTGTTATCTCCTTACTGTTGTAGTGGGGATTGTTATCTCCTTACTGTTATTACACGGAGGTTTTTGTTTTGTGGTAGTGGGGATTCACTGCGGTCGATATCATACTATCTCTCAATATCTGTAAAGGTATTTTGGAGAGAGCCTTTGTAATGTTGTGACAACTTGTGCTGGGATAACCGTTTGTTTCTTTTATGCAGAAACACAGCATTAACACAGCATTATTACAGCGTTGACGGCATCAAAACGGCATTAACACTGCATTGACGGCATCAACAAGACATTAACATAACATTGACATAGCATTGACAGCATCCTCACAACATTAACACAGCATTATTACAGCACTGACGGCATCAACACGGCATCAACACGACATTAACACTGCATATATGTCATCAACACAGCATCAACACAGCATTAACACAGCATTAACACAGCATTATTAAACCATTGACGGCATCAACACAGCATTATTACATCATTTACGGCATCAACACAGCAATAATACAGCATTATTACAGCATTGACGGCATCAACACAGAAAACTCTGAAAATACAGAGATGACTTCACGAGAGATGCCCGGCGATGCTAACTTCACGAGAGATGCCCGGCGATGTTAACTTCACGAGAGATGCCCGATGATGTTAACTTCACGAGAGATGCCCAGCGATGTTAATTTCACGAGAGATGCCCGGCGATGTTAATTTCACGAGAGATGCCCGGCGATATTAACTTCACGAGAGATGCCCGGTGATGTTAACCTCCTGTGGAATTGTCAATAACCGTTACACTTTGTCAGTAACTTTGACCTAAGTCTCAGTCAATTGAAGGACACCAGGACTGACATTACAGTAATAAACTGTGACGTCAGACTCCTTAATGCAGCGGTCATTCGAACTTTAGGCCATTGTCACATCAGTATATAATATAATACATATTTTACACAAATCATACAATGTACAGAGAATGAAGCCAATCATATTTCATTATAATACCCTTTATTTGTTTGCCTCATAGATGAATTTTCCTAGTAGACACAATTCTTTAATATTATGGACACTCAATAACTGTACGACTTTAAACACAGATGTTTTTTTCCAATAATAGCTTTTGATAAAACGGGATCTGAAATTTTCGAATTTAGAACAGACCAATAAAAAATTAAGACTCACACCTAGATTGTTTCACGGTCCATTGTCCTGTCGTGAAATCATCTATACAAGCCACTTTAAAATTAATTATCTTGTTAACAGCCGTTTACGCCAATATGAACAACTGTACTCCCAGCTTATGCATATTTATCTGCCGACTGTGCAATGTAATCATCACGGTGTAAGATAATTTGTTCATTTATTCACTTTGCTATAATTGAATTCCAAAACAACGGCGAAAATAGAATATTAATTAGGCGTGGTAACCACTGATAAACCATATATGTAGTGGTAACCATGGTTAGATTACCTAGTTATGTACTAGTTATACATTTGTATAGTGGTACATGTAGTTAGATCATCTAGGTATGTACCAGTTATATAGTGGTAACTATAATTAGATCAGGTAAGTATGTACATTTATATAGTGGTAACGATTGTCAGATTACCTAGGTATGTACTAGTTATATAGTGGTAACCATAGTAACATCATCTAGGTATGTACCAGTTATATAGTGGTAAATAAGGTTAGATCAGCTAGGTATGGACATTTATTTAGTGATAAGTATAGTTAGATCACCTAGTTATGTACCAGTGATATAGTGGTAGCTATGGTTAGATTACCTAGGTATGTACATTTATATAGTGGTAACAATAGTTAGATCATTTAGGTATGTACATTTATATAGTGGTAACTGTAGTTTGATCAGCTAGGTATGTATTAGTTATATAGTGGTAACTGTAGTTTGATCAGCTTGGTATGTATTAGTTATATAGTGGTTATATAGTGGTAACTATAGTTAGATCATCTAGGTATGTACCAGTTATATAGTGGTAAATAAGGTTAGATCAGCTAGGTATGGACATTTATTTAGTGATAAATATAGTTAGATCACCTAGTTATGTACCAGTGATATAGTGGTAACTATAGTTAGATTACCTAGGTATGTACATTTATATAGTGGTAACTATAGTTAGATCATTTAGGTATGTACATTTATATAGTGGTAACTGTAGTTTTAACAGCTAGGTATGTATTAGTTATATAGTGGTAACTGTAGTTTGATCAGCTTGGTATGTATTAGTTATATAGTGGTAACTGTAGTTTGATCATCTAGGTATCTATTAGTTATATAGTGGTAACTATAGTTAGATTACCTAGGTATGTACCAGTAATATGGTTCTAACCATAGTTAGATCACTTAGTTGTGTACCAATTATATAGTGGTAACTATAGTTAGATCAGCTAGGTATGTACATTTATATAGTGGTAACTGTAGTTAGATCATTTAGGTATGTACATTTATATAGCGGTAACTGTAGTTTGATCAGCTAGGTATGTATTAGTTATATAGTGGTAACTGTAGTTTGATCAGCTAGGTATATATTAGTTATATAGTGGTAACTATAGTTAGATTACCTAGGTATGTACCAGTAATATGGTTGTAATCATAGTTAGATCACTTAGTTATGTACCAATTATATAGTGGTAAATGTAGTTTAATCCACAAGTAAGGGGATACTGATACCTAATCCACAAGTAAGGGGATATTGTAAGGGGATATTCATACCTAATCCACAAGTTAGGGGATATTGATACCTAATCCACAAGTAAGGGGATATTGATACCTAATCCACAAGTAAGGGGATAGTGATACCTAATCCACAAGTAAGGGGATATTGATACCTAATCCACAAGTAAGGGGATAGTGATACCTAATCCACAAGTAAGGGGATATTGATACCTAATCCACAAGTAAGGGGATAGTGATACCTAATCCACAAGTAAGGGGATATTGATACCTAATCCACAAGTAAGGGGATACTGATACCTAATCCACAAGTAAGGGGATATTGATACCTAATCCACAAGTAAGGGGATACTGATACCTAATCCACAAGTAAGGGGATATTGATACCTAATCCACAAGTAAGGGGATACTGATACCTAATCCACAAGTAAGGGGATATTGATACCTAATCCACAAGTAAGGGGATACTGATACCTAATCCACAAGTAAGGGGATATTGATACCTAATCCACAAGTAAGGGGATATTTATACCTAATCCACAAGTAAGGGGATATTGATACCTAATCCACAAGTAAGGGGATATTGATACCTAATCCACAAGTAAGGGGATAGTGATACCTAATCCACAAGTAAGGGGATATTGATACCTAATCCACAAGTAAGGGGATAGTGATACCTAATCCACAAGTAAGGGGATATTGATAACTAACCCACAAGTAAGGGGATATTGATACTTAATCCACAAGTTAGGGGATATTGATACCTAGTAGAGCATCTAAAACGCCAACAAAAACAGCGTGATAATCACACAACTTTATTATAGGGTTCTAGTCTGACTGTTCGTGTGTAGTTATTTACTGTATTCCTGGTAAAAACACTGCCAATGGCGCTTTTCATACTTACATTACTGAATATTTCTGTAATCAGGACGCACTTTCCTATACTCTAATATGAAAACAGAGGAAACTCCGTGGAAGTGTACCGCGTTAAATACTGGCTGGTTAAGGCTGTCAGAAACGTCCATAAACAATAGCCTGTGAGTGTTGTTGATACGTTTTATTCTGCTATGTTTTTATATATAATAACTACATGATAAAATATTACTACAATGTTGCATATCAATTATACTATATACGAGAATACTGCATTTCAGCATCGGGAATATTGTACAAGTATGGGATTTTAACGAGATGAAGAGATGCTTTTAAGATTAAATATCGTATCATTACATAATATTGCCAAAGTATAATTAAATTGTATCACGTGATCACATTACACCAAAAGAAGATATGGGAGCAAGTGATGAATGTCAAACACGCAATGAGCATATCTCTAAACAAATCATAGATCTCAGGAAAATACACACAGTTCACACTGGACTGATGTCTACACCAATAGGTGTGTATAACGGAATGTCATGGTTATAACGCTGTCCACACAGATCACACTGGACTGATGTCTACACCAGTAATACAGTAGGTGTGTATAACGGAATGTCATGGTTATAATATGCTGTTCACACAGATCACACTGGACTGATGACCACACCCGTAATACAGTAGGTGTGTTTAACGGAATGTCATGGTTATAATGCTGTTCACACAGATCACACTGGACTGATGACCACACCAGTAATACAGTAGGTGTGTATAACGGAATGTCATGGTTATAACGCTGTCCACACAGACGAGGGTACTAATAGGCTTCGTATCCACGTTTCTGAGAAGATTTGTTCTTTGCACATACAACGCAGGCAAAGAGGACCAGTAGGATCTGTAAGATTTGATAGAATATAAATAAACTCATGTATCGAAATATATATAATTGCAGATTGACTTTATAGATTATGCAGCTTTATGTGAAAGAAATATAAATGTGACATATCACTTACCGGCGTTTGTTCTGTGTGTTCGAAATTGACACTACATGTGTGTATATAATTTATTTATGTATATTTTTTTGTTATATATAAAACTGTATATACAAATAAAACATCTTTATGTCCTTGTGATGATTAGCTATAAAAGGAACGGCAGAAGAATTTCTTAGTACTTCCCTATTAAATTATATATATATATTTAGCTTTTTACATAATCATCGCGGTTTTTGGGAGGGTTTTCATGCCGGTATGAACGCAAATCGGTTACATCCATATTGCATGAAGCCCGCTAAAAACAACGGCATGAAAATTTAAAAAAAAATAAAACGCCGTTCAATCCATATAATACATTTTTACTATGGAAAAATTATTTAATTTCATTTATTTGTTCTTAAATCAATAATTTATTAACTGCGTTTTGTATATGCGTCGTCCTTTAAACGACATTGTCAGAACAGCCCTATTTAAATAAAACTGGCGCCAAAAATTTACCGTAGTCATTTGAGCGTTTGACGCAGGGGCATTTCTCCATGTTTACCGAATCGAAGAGACAAGACTCCCATTGAACAGGGTTAATCCATAACGTCATAAGTAAGCCATGTGATACCTCAAGAGATGTTTTTGCTTTCATACTCAAATGAAATGTATTTCTGCTGGTAATGTTCATATAGTGGGTTGCAGCGCAAATGTAAATATATGTGTATAACTCGAGTGAGGGTTTACTCGGTGTAGCTGTGTATAACTCGAGGGAGGCTTTACTCGTTGTATATCTGTATAACTCGAGTGAGGCTTTACTCGTTGTTGCTGTGTATAACTCGAGTGAGGCTTTACTCAGTGTACTGTGTATAATTCGAGTAAAGCTTTACTTGATGTAGATGTGTATAACTCGAGTGAGGCTTTACTCGATGTAGCTGGTGTATAACTCGAGTGAGGCTTTACTCGATGTAGATGTGTATAACTCGAGTGAGGCTTTACTCGTTGTATATGTGTATAAATCGTGTGAGGCTTTACTCGTTGTATATGTGTATAACTCGAGTGAGGCTTTACTCGATGTAGCTGTGTATAACTCGAGTGAGGCTTTACTCGTTGTATATGTGTTTAAATCGTGTGAGGCTTTACTCGATGTAGCTGTGTATAACTCGAGTGAGACTTTACTCGATGTAGCTGTGTATAACTCGAGTGAGGCTTTACTTGATGTAGCTGTGTATAACTCGAGTGAGGCTTTACTCGATGTAACTGTGTATAAATCGTGTGAGGCTTTACTCAATGTAGCTGTGTATAACTCGTGTGAAGCTTTTTTCGATGTAGCTGGTGTAAAACTCGTGTTATGCTTTCCTCGATTTAGATGTGTAAAACTTGAGTGAGGATTTACTTGTTGTATATGTGTATTACTCGAGTGAGGCTTTATTCGATGTAGTTGGTGTATAACTCGTGTTATGCTTTACTCGATGTAGATGTGTATAACTCGAGTGAGGCTTTACTTGTTGTATATGTGTATAACTCGAGTGAGGCTTTACTCGATGTAGCTGTGTATATAACTCGTGTGGGGCTTTTCATGTTGTATATGTTTATAACTCGAGTGAGGCTTTACTCGGCGTAGCTGTGTATAACTCGAGTGAGGCTTTACTCGATGTAGCTGTGTATATAACTCGTGTGGGGCTTTTCTTGTTGTATATGTTTATAACTCGAGTGAGGCTTTACTCGGTGTAGCTGTGTATAACTCGAGTGAGGCTTTACTCGTTGTATATCTGTATAACTCGAGTGAGGCTTTACTCGGTGTAGCTGTGTATAACTCGAGTGAGGCTTTACTTGTTGTATATGTGTATAACTCGAGTGAGGCTTTACTTGTATATGTGTATAACTCGAGTGAGGCTTTACTCGTTGTATATGTGTATAACTCGAGTGAGGCTTAACTCGGTGTAGCTGTGTATAACTCGTGTGAAGCTTTTTTCGATGTAGCTGGTGTAAAACTCATGTTATGCTTTCCTCGATGTAGATGTGTAAAACTTCAGTGAGGCTTTACTTGTTGTATATGTGTATAACTCGAGTGAGGCTTTACTCGATGTAGCTGTGTATAACTCGAGTGAGGCTTTACTTGATGTAGCTGTGTATAACTCGAGTGAGACTTTATTCGATGTAGCTGTGTATAACTCGTGTGGGGCTTTTCTCGTTGTATATGTGTTTAACTCCAGTGAGGCTTTACTCGGTGAAGCTGTGTATAACTCGAGTGAGGCTTTACTCGTTGTATATCTGTATAACTCGATTGAGCCTTTACTTGTTGTATATCTGTATAACTCGAGTGAGGCTTTACTCGATGTTGCTGTGTATATATCGTATGAGGCTTTACTTGTATATGTGTATAACTCGAGTGAGGCTTTACTCGTTGTAGCTGTGTATAACTCGAGTGATGCTTTACTTGTATATGTGTATAACTTGAGTGAGGCTTAACTTGTATATGTGTATAACTTAAGTGAGGCTTTACTCGATGTAGCAGGTGTATAACTCATGTTATGCTTTACTCGATGTAGAGGTGTAAAACTCGAGTGAGGCTTTACTTGTATATGTGTATAACTCGAGTGAGGCTTTACTCGGCGTAGCTGTGTATAACTCGACTGAGGCTTTACTCGGCGTAGCTGAGTATAACTCGAGTGAGGCTTTACTCGTTGTAGCTGTGTATAACTCGAGTGAGGCTTTACTTGTATATGTGTATAACTTGAGTGAGGCTTAACTTGTATATGTGTATAACTTGAGTGAGGCTTTACTCGATGTAGCTGGTGTATAACTCATGTTATGCTTTACTCGATGTAGAGGTGTAAAACTCGAGTGAGGCTTTACTTGTTGTGTATGTGTATAACTCGAGTGAGGCTTTACTCGGTGTAGCTGTGTATAACTCGAGTGAGGCTTAACTCGATGTAGCTGTGTAGAACTCGAGTGAGGCTTTTCTTGATGTAGCTGTGTATAACTCCAGTGAGGCTTTACTCGATGTAGCTGTGCATAACTCGTGTTGGGCTTTTCTCGTTGTGTATGTGTATAACTCGAGTGAGGCTTTACTCGGTGTAGCTGTGTATAACTCGAGTGAGGCTTTACTTGTATATGTGTATAACTCGAGGGAGGCTTTACTCGGCGTAGCTGTGTATAACTCGAGTGAGGCTTTACTCGTTGCATATGTGTATAACTCGTGTGAGGCTTTCCTTGTATATGTGTATAACTCGAGTGAGGCTTTACTTGTTGTATATGTGTATAACTCGAGTGAGGCTTTACTCGTTGCATATGTGTATAACTCGTGTGAGGCTTTACTTGTATATGTGTATAACTCGAGTGAGGCTTTACTCGGCGTAGCTGTGTATAACTCGAGTGAGGCTTTACTCGTTGTATATCTGTATAACTCGAGTGAGGCTTTACTCGGTGTAGCTGTGTATAACTTGAGTGAGGCTTTACTTGTATATGTGTATAGCTTGAGTGAGGCTTTACTTGTATATGTGTATGACTTGAGAGAGGCTTTACTCGATGTAGCTGTGTATAACTCAAGTGAGGCTTTACTCAATGTTGCTGTGTATAACTCGAGTGAGGCTTTACTCGGTGTAGCTGTGTATAACTCGTGTGGGGCTTTACTCGATGTAGCTGTGTATAACTTGAGTGAGTCTTTACTCGATGTAGCTGTGTATAACTCGAGTGAGGCTTTACTCGATGTAGCTGTGTATACCTCGAGTGAGGCTTTACTCGTTGTATATGTGTATAACTGGAGTCATTACTCGTGGCATGACTCCGTTGGATATTTTCTCTCCTTCGTATATTTATAAAAGTGTCCTATCCTCAATCAGCCTACCTCTACAGCAGCTACAGCGGCCCCGGATCCTATCAGGATGTCAGCATTGTCATCAACCCAGTCCTCAATGGCACTGTAACAGCCCTGAAATGCATGGTGGCCATTATTGTGTCATTAACAGTATCATACAGCTGTATTACTTTGAATGTTATGCTTTCACAAAACACTGGGAAAACGTTACACCGTCTGATACAAAGCGATGGAAAATGAATTAAATGTAAGATTTCGAAAAGTGTTTGTTCCATTGAAGATTAACCATAGCGATACTATTACTTTCCAGTGGAGCTATACGTGACAGTCTGGGCATTGTTATGATTTTATATGGAGACAGGCAATAATCAAAGTTCGATAACTCCCACTAACTGTAGGTTACGTCCGATCCACTTCTTACACCATCACTTAAACATTGGTATTCTTTGTTTTCCTTGATTAAATCAGTTTTTGCGTAATGATAAACTCATTAGGTAGTTCTCCGCTGGTGACAACTTGTATTACTTGTATGGAAAATATATCTCCTTAACAATCAAGAAATATAAATTTAAGGCAGGTGATATTGTCCATGTTACCTATGTCAAACCTATTGGTGCTACCTTGTCGGGGACTATCAATGGGGTTATCTTGTCGGGGACTATCAATGGTGTTACCTTTTCTGAGACAATCAATGGTGTTACCTTGTCGGAGACAATCAATGGTGTTACCTTGTCGGGGACTATCAATGGTGTTACCTTGTCGGGACTATCAATGGTGTTACCTTGTCGGAGACTATCAATGGTGTTACCTTGTCGGGGACTATCAATGGTGTTACCTCGTCGGGGACTATCAATAGTGTTATCTTGTCGGGGACTATCAATGGTGTTACCTTGTCGGATGTTATAAATGGTGTTACCTTGTCGGATATTATAAATGGTGTTACCTTGTCCGAGAAGGAATTGTTGGTAGTAGGACTCGTAAGACAGTCGTAGTTTGTTCGGCTGGCGTTCCGACAGCATATGAGAGGAATGATTTGATTTGGTAACAGTTTCTGCCATTTTTTCGCCGTATTGTTAAATTCGGAGTATGTTTCAACTCCACAGCATTCAAACTAAAACATTTAAAAGAAACTGGCATGTTTATGTTGGTTTAATCATTTCAAACATGCGAGTGTGTTTTTGTAATGCTGCATTTATTTCAACAAACTTTCCAGAATATAAACAATGACAATAGTATATAATGCATATGATATTTCCTGTGTCGATACCATGCCGCACACAAACCAATGACAACACAACATTCTAACGTTAAAGAAGTTTAACAATATACCAAACCTCGGACATGATAAAGTTGAGACCGAGAGTGACCGCGTCTGTACCGTTGGTGCCCGTATAATCATTGGCGATAGCCGTCTGTAACGGTTCCTTCAGCCACCCGTCTACCTGTACAGACAACGTGCTAGAAAACATGTCTTAAATATTTCAAAGTTTCACTAAGTTTGAAGTTTTAGTATAAGTGAATACCTTGTGAATACGTCTTGAGTGGCAATACTCAAAAATACATCTACCGCTATAAAAGCTCAAATAAATATAAAATAAACATTATCGCCAAAAAGGAATCAAACAAATTCTGTAAAATGTCTAATAATTTACGTGTCTTATGACTAACTTGTCTTATGACATACTGTTTAATGGCTTACGTGTCTAATGATTTACGAGACTAATGACTTACGTGTCTTTTGACTTACGAGACTAATGACCTACGTGTCTAATGACTTGTGTGTCAGACCTATTTAATCTAAAGACATCTTACCTCTTCCCGGATAGCAAACAGTAGTATGACGAATGTAAGTTCTACCAGAATAACCATCACGATGATGATAGAGTACTGAAAAAAACATCAACTGTTATTTAACAATACATATTGTAATAACAGTCAACAAACACCGTTATATCAGTAAAAACAACACATACTGTTATATCAGTAAACAACACATACTGTTATATCAGTCACAACAACACATACTGTTACATCAGTAACCCCAACACATACTGTTATATCAGTGAACAACACATACTGTTATATCAGTCACAACAACACATACTGTTATATCAGTAACAACAACACAACCTGTTATATCAGTAACAACAACACATACTGTTATATCAGTAACAACAACACATACTGTTATATCAGTAACAACAACACATACTGTTATATCAGTAACAACAACACATACTGTTATATCAGTAACAACAACACATACTGTTATATCAGTAACAACAACACATACTGTTATATCAGTAACAACAACACATACTGTTATATCAGTAACAACAACACATACTGTTATATCAGTAACAACAACACATACTGTTATATCAGTAACAACAACACATACTGTTATATCAGTAACAACAACACATACTGTTATATCAGTAACAACAACACATACTGTTATATCAGTAACAACAACACATACTGTTATATCAGTAACAACAACACATACTGTTATATCAGTAACAACAACACATACTGTTATATCAGTAACAACAACACATACTGTTATATCAGTAACAACAACACATACTGTTATATCAGTAACAACAACACATACTGTTATATCAGTAACAACAACACATACTGTTATATCAGTAACAACAACACATACTGTTATATCAGTAACAACAACACATACTGTTATATCAGTAACAACAACACATACTGTTATATCAGTAACAACAACACATACTGTTATATCAGTAACAACAACACATACTGTTATATCAGTAACAACAACACATACTGTTATATCAGTAACAACAACACATACTGTTATATCAGTAACAACAACACATACTGTTATATCAGTAACAACAACACATACTGTTATATCAGTAACAACAACACATACTGTTATATCAGTAAAAACAACACATACTGTTATATCAGTAACAACAACACATACTGTTATATCAGTAACAACAACACATACTGTTATATCAGTAACAACAACACATACTGTTATATCAGTAACAACAACACATACTGTTATATCAGTAACAACAACACATACTGTTATATCAGTAACAACAACACATACTGTTATATCAGTAACAACAACACATACTGTTATATCAGTAACAACAACACATACTGTTATATCAGTAACAACAACACATACTGTTATATCAGTAACAACAACACATACTGTTATATCAGTAACAACAACACATACTGTTATATCAGTAACAACAACACATACTGTTATATCAGTAACAACAACACATACTGTTATATCAGTAACAACAACACATACTGTTATATCAGTAACAACAACACATACTGTTATATCAGTAACAACAACACATACTGTTATATCAGTAACAACAACACATACTGTTATATCAGTAACAACAACACATACTGTTATATCAGTAACAACAACACATACTGTTATATCAGTAACAACAACACATACTGTTATATCAGTAACAACAACACATACTGTTATATCAGTAACAACAACACATACTGTTATATCAGTAACAACAACACATACTGTTATATCAGTAACAACAACACATACTGTTATATCAGTAACAACAACACATACTGTTATATCAGTAACAACAACACATACTGTTATATCAGTAACAACAACACATACTGTTATATCAGTAACAACAACACATACTGTTATATCAGTAACAACAACACATACTGTTATATCAGTAACAACAACACATACTGTTATATCAGTAACAACAACACATACTGTTATATCAGTAACAACAACACATACTGTTATATCAGTAACAACAACACATACCGTTATATCAGTAACAACAACACATACTGTTATATCAGTAACAACAACACATACTGTTATATCAGTAACAACAACACATACCGTTATATCAGTAACAACAACACATACTGTTACAACAGTAAGCAACTATGTACCCGCTGTTATAACAGTATTCAACACCACATTTATTATTAAGCTATATAATTTAAAACGTCAATGTGAATTTTAAATAATTAAAACAAAACACCGGAAGACAATCTCCCGCAAGTACTTTTGCCAATCGTTAGGCTCTTCAGGCGGTATTATATGAATTGTGACGTTTTTGGGTAAATTTCACCAACTGTCTCCTGCATACACACATGCAAGCATGAATACACCACACAATTGGATGCACGTCCTTAAATGACCTTAACTGTTAATAGGACGTTAAACAAAATTAAACCAAACCAAACACTGAGACAAAAAACAATGACGTCATAAATAAAGTTAACATGATACGGATGTCTATTACTGAAGACATCTTACAATGACTACAATAAATGTACCTGTATTTCATGGCAAAAAAACATACGACAAAAGAAAAGGAGTATGCTTAATAATGATCAAATGATTGCATCGCTTCAGAGTAAAGGTAACATTTATAATAAATAGATATGATGTTCAACACTTATTTCATCTTAACATATCAAACATAGAACGGGGGGCGCTTTACCACGTCATCTATGTAGTGACTTACACATATGAGTAGAGCACGGACTTTACAGCACGCCCCTAGACAACCTATTATTCCCAGGAGGAAGAAGAACGCTCCAATCACTATAAACGCTATGGCAGCATCTTGCAGGAACTCTTCAATGTTGAAATTTGCTATGCTGGAGTTATCAACTCCTGCTTCCTCTAGCGCCTTCCGGAAGTTGTTGTACCAGTCGCTGAGAACGTCGTCCATGATACTTTCGCCCCATTTTACAATACAGCCGACTGTAAGGAGTAGTATACCCACCAACTGAAAGCAATGCATTAAGCATATTAATATTCACGACTGCTGTTTAATAAAATCACACCCCAGAACTCTTACTGAGATACATAGTTAAAGGAATAAAAAAGCAATAGGTACATTGTTTTACATCTTGTGTGCTGTAAAGTTAATGATTTAACAAAATCAATTCCAACCATTCCGCGCCGACATAAAGGTAAAATTGACTGGCTTTAAAGGTGGACGTCGCTCCTGTTATTTTCAAAGGACAGTTTGTTTTTACCCGAGACCAATTAAACAGCTAACTTCATGCTTTTAATTTTCCACATATTCCAATATGCAGAGAACATAAGCGTAGCCCCTGGATGTCTCCGTGTGGCAATATGGGTAGTATGGTAAAGATCGGTATGACTAAATAAACAAACCAATATGACAATGTTCTCATAGTTTATATTCAATGATGTCATGATTAAAATGCAATTGAATTAAAATATGATTGAGTGGCTTAGTGAATAACTCGATAAGGCTTTAGCTTGTTAAAACATTCCCTACACGTTTTGTTAGTATGCCTTGCCTATAACTATTCAGTCAGTGTAATTTCTGTGTGTAAAACGTGCAGCACGACCCACAAATGTATTGTTCAAATACCAAGCACTTTTGTGGGATAACGATGCAATAGATAAAGTAGTGGTCAAACGTTTCAAAGTGAACTCTCTCCGTTTGATGTAGTTAATACACGCCGTTTCTTATTGATAGTTTGGCAGCAATCTTTTTGTATACCCATGTCTAGGACGGGACAATAGTGACGTCGTGTTCTGTATACCCCTGTCGTAGGACGGGACTATAGTGAAGTCGTGTTCTGTATAACTCTGTCTAGGACGGGACTATAGTAAAGTCGTGTTCTGTATACCCCTGTCTAGGACGGGACTATAGTGACGTCGTGTTCTGTATACCCCTGTCTAGGATGGGACTCGTGTTCTGTATACCCCTGTCGTAGGACGGGACTATAGTGAAGTCGTGTTCTGTATAACTCTGTCTAGGACTGGACTATAGTAAAGTCGTGTTCTGTATACCCCTTTCTAGGACGGGACTATAGTGACGTCGTGTTCTGTATAACCCTTGTGTAGGTCGGGACTATAGGGACGTCGTGTTCTGTATACCCCTGTCGTAGGACGGGACTATAGTGAAGTCGTGTTCTGTATACCTCTGTCTAGGACGGGACTATAGTGACGTCGTGTTCTGTATAACCCTTGTGTAGGACGGGACTATAGTGACGTCGTGTTCTGTATACCCCTGTCTAGGATGGGACTATAGTGACGTCGTGTTCTGTATACCCATGTCTAGGATGGGACTAAAGTGACGTTGTGTGCTGTATACCCCTGTCTAGGACGGGACTATAGTGACGTCGTGTTCTGTATACCTCTGTCTAGGATGGGACTATAGTGACGTCGTGTTCTGTATACCTCTGTCTAGGATGGGACTATAGTGATGTCGTGTTATGTATACCCCTGTCTAGGATGGGACTATAGTGACGTCGTAGTGATGTCGTGTTCTGTATACCCCTGTCTAGGACGGGACTATAGTGACGTCGTGTTCTGTATACCCCTGTCTAGGATGGGACTATAGTGACGTCGTGTTCTGTATACCCCTGTCTAGGATGGGGCAATAGTGACGTCGTGTTCTGTGTATCCCTGTCTAGGACGGGACTATAGTGACGTCGTGTCCTGTATACCCCTGTCTAGGATTGGACTATAGTGACGTCGTGTTCTGTATACCTCTGTCTAGGATGGGACTATAGTGACGTCGTGTTCTGTATACCTCTGTCTAGGACGGGAATATAGTGACGTCGTGTTCTGTATAACCCTTCTAGGACGGGACTATAGTGACGTCTTGTTCTGTATAACCCTTCTAGGACGGGACTATAGTGACGTCGTGTTCTGTATACCTCTGTCTAGGACGGGAATATAGTGACGTCGTGTTCTGTGTATCCCTGTCTAGGACGGGACTATAGTGCCGTCTTGTTCTGTATAACCCTTCTAGGACGGGACTACAGTGACGTCGTGTTCTGTATACACCCGTCTAGGACGGGACTATAGTGGCGTCGTGTTCTGCTTACCTCTGTCTAGGTTGGGATTATAGTGACGTCGTGTTCTGTGTACCCCTGTCTAGGACGGGACTATAGTGACGTCGTGTTCTGCTTACCTCTGTCTAGGTTGGGACTATAGTGACGTCGTGTTCTGTATACCTCTGTCTAGGTTGGGACTATAGTGACGTCGTGTTCTTTATACCCCTGTCTAGGATGGGACTATAGTGACGTCGTGTTCTGTATACACCTGTCTAGGATGGGACTATAGTGACGTCGTGTTATGTATACCTCTGTCTAGGACGGGACTATAGTGACAGGACGGGACAATAGTGACGTCGTGTTCTGTATACCTCTGTCTAGGACGGGCCTATAGTGACGTCGTGTTCTGTATACCTCTGTCTAGGTTGGGACTATAGTGACGTCGTGTTCTGTATTCCCCTGTCTAGGATGGGACTATAGTGACGTCGTGTTCTGTATACACCTGTCTAGGACGGGACTATAGTGACGTCGTGTTCTGTATACCCCTTCGTATCCCTGTCGTAACTTTACTGAGCTCATTTTCTTTCTCGTCAGTTGTGTCACAGTGTTGTCATGAACTGTATGCCATATCACTCTTACACTAAAAAAAAAGTGCAATATGTTTTTGTTTATGCTGTGATATATCTGTATATATGTATTTGTGTTGCTTGCTAACAAGTAGTACTCTGACTTGTAATGTTCAGTTTTTTCAGCCGTTTTATTGTTATTTAATATGCATGCTGTGATATTTCGTTGATGTTTGTAATTTTCTATGTATTTTATTCATGTTTTGTCGTAAAAACAGCTTTAGAGAGCAATTGTTTATTGTTTAACATGCACGACTTTAAATAAAACTTCTTGTATCTTTTATCTTGTATTCCATCATAATAAGTATCTATAAAAGTTGAACTGGCGCACTTTAGTTTTATGGAGGCTCGCCCCGTGACTGTCACCCCTGCAGGTGGGGGATCGGGAAAAGAATACACCTGCTGTTACCCACTGCTGTATCGTAGGAGGCGACTAATGTTGGAACCCCCTGCAGAATTGGGGATTTGCTTTGGTGTCCTCTATTTGGAGACACAAAAGCGACCAAAATAAATCTGCTACGCCTATTTCAATATTTGACATATTTATCTTTCTTTCTTCTTCTAACTACCTTTTATTTCCTAGCGCCTTTCTTGGCAACACCTCACTTTTGAGTTGAATGTTGAGCGTTCGCTCAGGTGAGGAAGGCAATGGGTTCTGTCCCTAGGCTGGGACATACCAAAGTCCTTAGAAATAGTAGTTGTTATTCCCTGCTTAACGTTCAGCATGAAGGGGAATGGCAACAACTGGTTCACCCGTTGTCAGTATAATGTGTACGGGCGGAAAGCTGTGCTTGGGGCCCCTCAGCATGGTATTTCAGTGAGGTAGCACTATAAAGTCGGAATCAGATCCGCGCTATTACAAGAAGACAAGTATACCAACATACCCTGTCTCCTGCATACACACACGCAAGCACGCATACACTACATACATGGAGGCACGTCCTTAAATGACCTTAGCTGTTAATAGGACGCTAAACAAAATTAAATCAAACCCGTGACTGTCCCTGGCCAATGAATGAATGGTTATAATAACCATAAGAAGAGAGCTTACCGCGAATAACAAGTTGATGAGAACAAGGATAATTTGACCACATCCGCTACACGCCCCCATTACGTCAGTTCCGTCAGTGGTCGGTGATATGTTAGACGTCGGGACAGTTTCTCTCGCGTCTCAACCGGCTAGTACATGGCGCTCGTGATCACTGTAACCAAGGTAACGAGAAACGATTAGCGGAAATGGAATATTCAATTCCATTTACTCATGAAGCTTAAATGAAACAAAAACATAATAGACTCGTTCCATCAATTCATAATGACATCAATACAAACTCATTATTTCTAAACGATAAAATAGAATGTCGGCAGTGTTAGGTTTGAACCCCAATCTGCAGGAAAGTTCGACTTCTGGAGTCTGGGAAACGCTTGTCGCACCTGTAGATACTGTTTATTTCGGGTCAGTCTTTGAGGAAAGTATATATTATCAGCGTTTATATTCTGTGTTGTATATTTGTATGGGAATATTATCTAATAGAGAGCAATACAAGTCCTATAACTGTAAAAAACCCGTGTATACGTACAGAATAATAATATGTAAATTACCCGTGTATACGTACAGTATAATACTATGTAAATTACCCGTGTATACGTACAGTATAATAATATGTAAATTACCCGTGTATATGTACAGTATAATAATATGTAAACTACCCGTGTATATGTACAGTATAATGATATGTAAACTACCCGTGTATATGTACAGTATATTAATATGTAAATTATCCGTGTATATGTACAGCATAATAATATGTAAATTATCCGTGTATATGTACAGTATAATAATATGTAAATTACCCGTGTATACGTACAGTATAATAATATGTAAATTACCCGTGATTATGTACAGTATAATAATATGTATCTTACCCATGTATATGTACAGTATAATAATATGTAAATTACCCGTGTATGTGTACAGTATAATAATATGTAAATTATCCGTGTATGTGTACAGTATAATGATATATAAATTACCCGTGTATATGTACAGTATAATAATATGTAACTTACCCATGTATATGTACAGTATAATGATATGTAAACTACCCGTGTATATGTACAGTATGATAATATGTAAATTCCCCGTGTATATGTACAGTATAATAATACGTAACTTACCCGTGTATATGTACAGTATAATAATCTGTCAACTCCCCCTGTATATGTACAGTATGATAATATGTAAATTACCCGTGTATATGTACAGTATATTAATATATAAATTATCCGTGTATATGTACAGTATAATAATATGTAACTTACCCATGTATATGTACAGTATAATGATATGTAAACTACCCGTGTATATTTACAGTCTAATAATATGTAAATTACCCACGTATATGTACAGTATAATAATATGTAAATTACCCGTGTATATGTACAGTATAATAATATGTAAATTACCCGTGTATATGTACAGTATAATAATATGTAAATTACCCGTGTATATGTACAGTATAATAATATGTAAATTACCCGTGTATATGTACAGTATAATAATATGTAAATTACCCGTGTATATGTACAGTATAATAATATGTAAATTACCCGTGTATATGTACAGTATAATAATATGTAAATTACCCGTGTATATGTACAGTATAATAATATGTAAATTACCCGTGTATATGTACAGTATAATAATATGTAAATTACCCGTGTATATGTACAGTATAATAATATGTAAATTACCCGTGTATATGTACAGTATAATAATATGTAAATTACCCGTGTATATGTACAGTATAATAATATGTAAATTACCCGTGTATATGTACAGTATAATAATATGTAAATTACCCGTGTATATGTACAGTATAATAATATGTAAATTACCCGTGTATATGTACAGTATAATAATATGTAAATTACCCGTGTATATGTACAGTATAATAATATGTAAATTACCCGTGTATATGTACAGTATAATAATATGTAAATTACCCGTGTATATGTACAGTATAATAATATGTAAATTACCCGTGTATATGTACAGTATAATAATATGTAAATTACCCGTGTATATGTACAGTATAATAATATGTAAATTACCCGTGTATATGTACAGTATAATAATATGTAAATTACCCGTGTATATGTACAGTATAATAATATGTAAATTACCCGTGTATATGTACAGTATAATAATATGTAAATTACCCGTGTATATGTACAGTATAATAATATGTAAATTACCCGTGTATATGTACAGTATAATAATATGTAAATTACCCGTGTATATGTACAGTATAATAATATGTAAATTACCCGTGTATATGTACAGTATAATAATATGTAAATTACCCGTGTATATGTACAGTATAATAATATGTAAATTACCCGTGTATATGTACAGTATAATAATATGTAAATTACCCGTGTATATGTACAGTATAATAATATGTAAATTACCCGTGTATATGTACAGTATAATAATATGTAAATTACCCGTGTATATGTACAGTATAATAATATGTAAATTACCCGTGTATATGTACAGTATAATAATATGTAAATTACCCGTGTATATGTACAGTATAATAATATGTAAATTACCCGTGTATATGTACAGTATAATAATATGTAAATTACCCGTGTATATGTACAGTATAATAATATGTAAATTACCCGTGTATATGTACAGTATAATAATATGTAAATTACCCGTGTATATGTACAGTATAATAATATGTAAATTACCCGTGTATATGTACAGTATAATAATATGTAAATTACCCGTGTATATGTACAGTATAATAATATGTAAATTACCCGTGTATATGTACAGTATAATAATATGTAAACTACCCGTGTATATGTACAGTATAATAATATGTAAATTACCCGTGTATATGTACAGTATAATAATATGTAAATTACCCGTGTATATGTACAGTATAATAATATGTAAATTACCCGTGTATACGTACAGTATAATAATATGTAAATTACCCGTGTATATGTACAGTATAATAATATGTAACTTACCCATGTATATGTACAGTATAATAATACGTAACTTACCCGTGTATACGTACAGTATAATAATATGTAAATTACCCGTGTATATGTACAGTATAATAATATGTAAATTACCCGGGTATATGTACAGTATAATAATATGTAAATTACCCGCGTATACGTACAGTATAATAATATGTAAATTACCCGGGTATATGTACAGTATAATAATATGTAAATTACCCGTGTATACGTGCAGTATAATAATATGTAAATTACCCGTGTATATGGACAGTATAATAATATGTAACTTACCCACGTATATGTACAGTATAATAATATGTAAATTACCCGGGTATATGTACAGTATAATAATATGTAACTTACGCACGTATATGTACAGTATAATGATATGAAAATTACCCGTGTATGTGTACAGTATAATGATGTGTAACTTACCCGTGTATATGTACAGTATAATAATATGTAAATTACCCGCGTATACGTACAGTATAATAATATGTAAATTACCCGTGTATATGGACAGTATAATAATATGTAACTTACCCACGTATATGTACAGTATAATGTGTATACGTACAGTATAATAATATGTAAATTACCCGTGTATACGTGCAGTATAATAATATGTAAATTACCCGTGTAAATGTACAGTATAATAATATGTAACTTACGCACGTATATGTACAGTATAATGATATGTAAATTACCCGTGTATATGTACAGCATAATAATATGTAACTTACCCATGTATATGTACAGTATAATAATATGTAACTTACCCACGTATATGTACAGTATAATGATATGTAAATTACCCGTGTATGTGTACAGTATAATGATATGTAACTTACCCGTGTATATGTACAGTATAATGATATGTAAACTACCCGTGTATATGTACAGTATAATAATATGTAAATTACCCGTGTATATGTAGAGTATAATAATATGTTAAGTACCCGTGTATATGTACAGTGTAATGATATGTAAACTACCCGTGTATATGTACAGTATAATAATACGTAACTTACCCGTGTACATGTACAGTATAATAATATGTAAATTACCCGTGTATATGTAGAGTATAATAATATGTTAAGTATAATATGTAACTTACCCATGTATATGTACAGTATAATGATATGTAAATTACCCGTGTATATGTACAGTATAATAATATGTAACTTACCCCTGTATATGTACAGTATAATAATATGTAAATTACCCGTGTATGTGTACAGTATAATGATATGTACCTTACCCGTGTCTATGTACAGTATAATGATATGTAAACTACCCTTGTATATGTACAGTATAATAATACGTAACTTACCCGTGTATATTTACAGTATAATAATATGTAAACTACCCGTGTATATGTACAGTATAATAATACGTAACTTACCCGTGTATATTTACAGTATAATAATATGTAAACTACCCGTGTATATGTACAGTATAATAATATGTATCTTACCCGTGTATATGTACAGTATAATAATATGTAACTTACCCACGTATATGTACAGTATAGTATAATAATATGTAACTTACCCGTGTATACGTACAGTATAATAATATGTAAATTACCCGTGTATATGTAGAGTATAATAATATGTTAAGTACCCGTGTATATGTACAGTGTAATGATATGTAAACTACCCGTGTATATGTACAGTATAATAATACGTAACTTACCCGTGTACATGTACAGTATAATAATATGTAAATTACCCGTGTATATGTAGAGTATAATAATATGTTAAGTACACGTGTATATGTCCAGTATAATGATATGTAAACTACCCGTGTATTAACTTACCCATGTATATGTACAGTATAATAATATGTAACTTACCAATGTATATGTACAGTATAATAATATGTAACTTACCAATGTATATGTACAGTATAATAATATGTAACTTACACGTGTATATGTACAGTATAATAATATGTAACTTACACGTGTATATGTACAGTATAATAATATGTAACTTACACGTGTATATGTACAGTATAATAATATGTAACTTACACGTGTATATGTACAGTATAATAATATGTAACTTACCAATGTATATGTACAGTATAATAATATGTAACTTACACGTGTATATGTACAGTATAATAATATGTAACTTACACGTGTA